TGAGCGCTGCACTTCGAATTGATGTCAGAAACGAGTATTCGAAAATTGGCAAAATCCGACCGAGAGAAAATTTTTCCAGCGAATTTTATCGGTGGTTAAAAAAAAGAAAAAAAAAAGTCTCGCTTATTCAAGAACCTTGACATACGATTATTACTGACGAAAATAATTACATCCGATGTGTATATTCGCGATTCGGAGACGCGCATCGGAGCGCAAAAACATCTCTAGAAAAGCTCGTTGGAAAATGCATCGCGTTTGACCGAGTTCTGCACGCGTGCGTCTCTGTGTGACCATGTGTGCATACTGTACACGCGCGCGCGCGCGCGCGCACCTACATGTGTGTGAAATAATCTTTCGGGATGGCGCCACTATCGCCGCCCTACCTACGGGCGAGGTCCATACTGGGTCACGGGTCGATCTTCGCAACGTAACGTTCCAATTCGCGCTTGATATTGATCTGAGCTTTTCCGCCCACGTTACAAAAGCGTCCCGGCGGCGACCTGGCTTCCTACCTATACGGTGTGCCTGCCGGCGGCACAGATAGAGAGACAGAGGAAAATTACCAATGGGAGAAACAGCTTTGCCGAAAATGCTCGCCCGCGAAGAAGCCAGCGGTCGTCATCAGCTCGGTAACAACCCCATCGAACCGCCACTCTGGATTCCTTCTCCGCAAATTAAGCGGCTTCGCTCGGTATTTCGCTCGGTGTTTCTTCTTTTTTTTCTCGTTGAGCGAAAACGAACCGAACGCGGTCGCGCATCGAGCTCGCGTTTTAAAAATGGACGCTCGCAAACCGAGCGTGTTCCGCATATATTAAATATGCACGAATACAAATACACATTAGTGGCCGGAGCCAGCGTCAATTTGATCTTCGCAATCGATCGATTTGAAATATCGCGCTCTCGACACGCTCGAGCGTGTAAAACTCTCGACACGGCGCCGAAATTCTTATTCCCTCGCGAACGACGGTTCAACAACCTTCGCGTGTTACAACCCGAAATTACGTGTCGTTGTTACGTAGAAACGACGGGATTTTTGTGGAAGGATTGTAATATTAACCACAGGAGCGTGGTTAGAAAATATTCCGTCTGGTGTTTTCTGCGGGGTTGGTACGACGCGCGATCGATTACCTTCTGCGACCGCCCGTTAAAATAGACCGCCACCCTCTTTTCTCGCCTACGTCACCGCCGCGTCCTTGAGAATTCAACCCTCGTGCGCGACCCGCGGTCGCACATCTAAATATGATATAAGGACCCTTAATAATTCTTCATGATTCTCCCTTTAACATCGCTCACGCGCTTCTCGTAGAATATTCGAGATACTTTACGCACACGTGTGCGTCGTACAACGTACACAGATTTAGGAAATAGATTACATCTGATATCTGATGTTGTCGCGGTGTGTTACGAGAATTTCTGGAAATGGTTTCTTCGCGTTGGTGTCAATTTTGTATATACCGGCGAAACATTCGTGGACATTTCAGTTCAAGGTTCGAGAACAGTTGATGGTATCGGAAATGAAGAAAAATGACCCCAACTCGAAAATCATCTTCAGGAACAAATTGCATGTTTGATAATTCTCGAGAAGCGCGACACGCACGCACTTCGTGACGATGAGACAATAATCGTGCGAAAGAGAAAATCCTATTTTCTTTCAGACAGACTCGAAGAAGGTATTTTCTCCGTTTGGAGATCCGTTTTTTCCCCATTTTTTCCGCCACCCTGTACAATAACCATTACGTGCAATTTGAGTGTTGCAATTTTCTCGAGCAAATGCCTTGACTGTTAAATTGCCCTCGCTCACGAGATATTTCGACGAGCTGTCGCCGCAAGTTCGAGGCGTCTCAAACGATACGACGGAGTCGAAGAGACTTGATTTCCGAACGTCGACGCGCGCGTATGTATGTTTCCGCTTGAAACAAACTCTCTCTTGCGAAATACACACGTCTACGAATTCCCTGTTTTTTTTTTTTTTTTTTTTTTT